AAAAAAGGATGTGCGAGACAGTTATGTTGGACTTTTACTGACTCGTCATCATCAGACTCTCACCGACCATCAGGAGGTTGAACCCTCGACAGTCCACAGTTTGCAGAATCCCCATTTCGATTGATTGATCCTTCTTTAGTATATCCACTTCAATCAATCACTGTCGAGAGCGGAGAGCATCTAGGCCAGGTGACAACAAGAGCAACATGGCAAAATGACAAAGTAAAAAAGCAGAGGAGGAAGCAATAAAGCAGAGGGAGGACGGGCAGGTACTCGGCAGGGCAAGCAGGCAGTGATGAAGAAGACAGGCAAACAGGCAGGCAAGCAGACGGGCAGGTACTACCTTCTTCCCCCGAATACAACGTACGGTCATTATAGCTGTACTTGGGTTATCTTTCAGACTAAATACAGAAATAATGACCGTACGTTGTCTTTGGGGGAAGAAGGTAGGCAGGGCAAACAGGCAGGCAAGCAAGCAGGCAGGCAAGCAAGCAAGCAGGCAAACAGGCAGGCAAACAGGCAGGCAAACAAGCAGGCAAGCAAGCAGGGAAGCAGGCAGGGAAGCAGGCAGGCAAACAGGCGGGAAACAGTCCTGGGAGGGCAGCATGGCAACCAAGCAAGTATTAAGGAGGCAAGCAAGTGGCAGGTGGATGACAGGGCAAAGGAGGCAAGCAGGCAGGCAAAAGAGGCAACGGAGGCAAGCAGACAGTCATGTGGGGAAGCACCGAATGCAGGCAAGCAGGCAGGCAAGCAGACAAACCAAGCAGGCAGGCAAAGCAGCCGAGGCAGGCAAGCAGACAAGGCAAGCAGGAAGGCAAAGCAGGCAGGCAGGCAAGCAGGCAAGGCAAGCAGGAAGGCAGGCAAGCAAGCAAGGCAGGCAAGGCAGGCAAGGAGGCAAGGTAGGCAAGCAGGGAAGGCAGGCAAGCAGGCAAGGCAGGCAAGCAGGCAGGCAAAGCAAGCAAGCAGACAAAGCAAGCTACCAAGCAAGCAGGCAGGCAAGCAGGCAGTGGTGAATCAGGCAGGCAAAGGAGGCAGGCAGGCAAGCAGGCAAGGCAGGCAAGGGAGGCAAGGCAGGCAAGGCAAGGCAGGCAAGGCAGGCAAGCCAGGCAAGCAGGCAAGCAGGCAAGCAGGCAAGGCAGGCAAGGCAGGCAAGCAGTAAAGCAGAGGGGGGGAGCATAGGCAAGCAACTGGGCAAAAAGGCAGGAAGGCGAAGCAACAAGACCAGGTAGATTCATATTGGATAATGTTATGACCCTAACAGAAACAGTACGGTACATCCGGGATAAGAGGATTAATGCCGCTATCCTGTTCTTTGACTTTGAAAAGGCATATGACCAGGTTAGCTGGCCATTTCTACAGCAATGCATGGAAAAAATGGGAGTAGGTCCGGATTTCAGGAAATGGATAAGAGTTCTTTACAACGATGCACAAGGGCAAGTGCAGGTCAATGGGCACTTATCCTCGATTTACAGGATGACGAGGTCTGTCAGGCAAGGGGACCCCCTAGCCGCTCCGATATTCCTCTTCATAATGGAGGCAGTGGCATCCTTTCTACGTTAGGACCCATCAATCCAAAGGCTTGTAGCAGAGCCGGATCAGCAGGGGCACAATATACAGCTTCCCTCAGTTCTCCTCTTTGCAGACGACCTGACGGTGCTCATAAGGGCGTGGACTCATCGTTCCTTGCACTGACGAAAGCTATGGAAGCCTTCCAACTTGCGTCTGAAATGAAGATCGATTGGCAGAAAACTGCGGGATGGTGGTTAGTAGATCAAGATCAGGAGGATAACCCCCCTTCTAGTAGTCCGGAGGAGTTGAGGTGGACAACAGCGCGAGTTCCCATTAGATATTTAGGCATCAAGATTACAGAAGCAGGGGCACATCAGTCGATGGCGGCGGATCTAATGGCAAAAGTTCTATCTAAGCTGGGATCTTGGTCGGCAGTATACACTTCCATTTACGGGAGAGCCCTCATACTCAACGCCTCCATCTTCTCCATGTTATGGTATGCAGGTTCAATATGGACACCATTGAAGTCCGCGGCAACTGTATTGAGAAGAAGAGCGACTGCCTACCTTTGGACATCCAAAACTACCCAGACCAACTTTATATCCAAGGTGGCATGGAAACATGTCACTACTCCAAAGCATCAGGGAGGGCTGGGTATACTAGACCTGGACACCCAGCTTAAAGCACTACAAACCAAATGGGTTACTAGGCTGTTAACCCAGCACAAGCTACCATGGACCTCTTTGGTGCTGCACAGGATAAGACAAATGGCTAAATTTAAAACGCCGCCGAATATGTTCGGGTTGTTTTGGGTAATGTGCGGCAATTGGGCTAGGGTGGGCAGAAGTGAGCGGAGCAATCAGGAGGACGACTTTGATGCTGCGAAAATGTCCTACTGGGAACAACTGTTGAAGTTATGGAAACATATCTTCCCGGCAAAAGTTAAGGAGCCAAACACGAGGGAAGAAGTACTTAGACAACCTTTATTCGGCAACCCCAGTATTAAGGACGCACAGGGGAAGCCACTCACGTTGTCGATATAAGATGCAAAGTGGGGAAGGTGGCTGGAGCACGGGGTTTGGCAGATAAAGCACATTTGGGAAGAAAGGGAAGGGAGATGGAAAACAGTTGGAGAACTGAGGACGCGCTTAAAGGGTTGTCACCGATTGGCTGATAACCGTAGAGTCATATTGGGAGCTATACCGCAAACATGGCAGCTATTGCTACGGGGAGGAATAAAGTGGGGACAAGGGGACTGGGCCACATGGAGTGATGTTAACGAACCCAAGGAGGCCTTCAGGATCTGGAGCCAGGATATTTCAAGACAAGATTGGCTACATGCAGACAAGTACGCTATACTCCATCCTCCCAACACAACTTCTCTCCCGGATATGACATCCAAAGTCCCGATCGCCATTCTCAAACAATACCTAAGGAAGGTAATGGTAGTGGAGACGGATGAATACACAATATTTTGTCCATCAGTATCGATTGAAGACTTGGAAGTGGATCCAGCAGAGTGGGCTTGGAATCTAAGGAGCAGAGGAACAGGTGCAGCAAGAAGAATTAACATTCTGCACTATACCACTAGAATTGGGTATAGATTGAGGAGGAGGTCTCGCACGCTCACGCCTTTACTGCTCAAGCGTTGGGAAAAAAGAATACAGATACCCTGTATTATGGGCCTGTAATCAATTGGTTAAATTGCCATGGTCAAGCATTGCTGCTATACGTCTAGGTTCTGTTAGAAGCATGCAATGGCTAATAGCTCACGTGGCACTTCCCGTTAATGTATGGTTGGATGAGCGTAGAAGCTCGAGACAGAGAAATGCGGAGAGCGCAATATGCAGGGTATGTCGAGGGGGAATTCCAGAAACAATGCAACACTGCCTCTTGGAATGTGAAGAAGCAAGCATGATGTGGGGGGAAGTAAGGACCATATGGGACCAGATTTCGAAGGCTAACTTCCCTGATTCCAAAATCTCTCTTTTGTTGGGACTCGGTATTCTGAACCATTGGCAGCCTTTTGAGAAGCACATGTTTAAATTGATACGCCAATATGGCCTCTGGACTATTTGGAAGCGTCGGTGCCAAGTTACTATCGAAGGACGACCAATGCACAGACAGGAAGCAAGGGAGATATTTCTCACATTGGTTGAAACGGATCTCAGAGCACAGTGGAAAGCAGTAAGGACGCAAATAAGCCTCCAACCGGGGCAGGAGGAAGAGATAACGAAACGCTTTGTTCATAACATTCTGGGGCAAGGAGCAGTGGCAATTATTATAAAGGGTAACAATTTATGCTTCAAATGGAGGAGATAGGTTTCGAGACGTTTACAGAGTTGGTAGTGGATCTAGGGTTTTAGGGGTATAGCAACATGGGATATCGGCAGAAAACAGAGAGGGTTTAGGGTTTAAGGGTTGCAGACAGAGGGGAAACAATTGATATGAGATCGATAATTCAAGGTAGGTAGAGTGTAAGATACAGGACAGATATTATATGCGGCCGGGATAGCATAGGGGGAAGAAGCTAAGGGCCTTTCTTGGAGTTCATGAATCATATGACAAGTCGATTTGTTCGGCCTGAGAGGAAAGGACTTAGCAGGGCTAGATGACTGTAGGATAGACCAAGTACAATAGGAAAGCATAGGCAGGGGAGAGGGGTGGTACATCCTTCCTCACTGAAGTAATCAATGCCACCTACTGGGGCCTCCCATCCATAATGGGGAGGAGTGTGTGTGTGTGTTTTGTATTCCAATTTGACTTGCCGGGGGAATAGGAACCGGACTGTTGCTCCCCAGAATGGTAGGAGCCAGAACCAAGAGGTTCTGAAAAAAAAAAAAGACAGGCAGGCAAGCAGCGAGTCTGAGCAGCAGGGTAGCAAGGCGCGACAAGGCAAGCGGGTGAGCAGCAGAGCTACACAAAGGCAAGCAGATCGGCAGCGAGGCAGCAGGGCTGTACCAACAAGGCAATCCACACATAACAGCATGGACAAAACCAGCTCATCACATAATCACACCAAAATGTGAAGTACGACTCTACAAGTTATAGGTTCATGCCATCGTCCTACTGATTAGTACTGAACACAACACACCGCATCCCGAACACACTGGCCCCCCTTATAGTGTTGCAGGCACTCTTAACAAATGGGCACTGACTATTTGGCACATCTTAAAGGTGCTGCATTTTGACACCGAGGAAACCACAGGAAAAGACCACAGCATGCAAACAACGTACACAATGTAAAGAAAACACTTGGTCGTAGAGGAAGAAAGGGAGTTATATACAGTACCATTGTGCGTGTCTGTGTGTGTTTTGTGTGCGTTTGTGTGTGTTTACGTGTGTGTGTGTGTGTGTGTGTGTGTGTGTGTGTGTGTGTGTGTGTGTGTGTGTGTGTGTGAGAGAGAGAGAGAGAGAGAGAGAGAGAGAGAGAGAATGAACACAGTAAGAAGTCAGAGGTGGCATTCTCACTTAGTCAGAATGGCGGATACACACTTTCGAAGAACCTTCCTATCCATTCCTCCAAGGCCAGTTGACGCCGCTATCATAGCCACAACAGAAAATACAAACATGAACCTGCAGAAACACGCATCGAAATTCTTACTGAATTATTATAAATCATCAGCATGTGTTTACCTATTTGGGTAAGTGAGACTTGACACTTGAGCCCCCACAACCGGAGGATCCAGCTCGCAGCGTGGAAATTTACATGGCTTTTGTCACACCCAAGAACAATTTAAACAATTTCCCTTCTCTCATCAGCTTCCAGTGGAGTTCGAACTCTGGTGTGTATTTCAAACTTTTCAACAGTTCAGCAGGTGTGTACAGACTGAGCTCGGCCAGTTTTTTTTTTTTGTTTTTTTTTTGTTTTTTGTTTTTTTTTTAATATATAGTCAAACAGAGCTGCCCGCCGGTAAACCTTAGGCAGAGAGGGAGAAGAGGAGAACAAACTTGCGGCTGTGACAAACTGTTTCTCTCTCTCTCTCTCTCTCTCTCTCTCTCTCTCTCTCTCCAAATCCTCGAGGTTAACAAGGCTCTTGTAACAGAAGGAACAGCTTGCATCGCTGTATGGAGCAAGCGGTTTTGGGGAGGTGCGTTTGGGAGAGCAGGGTCTGGGTCAAGAGGAAAGACATTGCATTTGCCCAAATATTGGATCCTTTTCTGCACAAAAAAAAGAAAACAAAAAATCATTTTCTGCACATGCATGTACAGAAAAATATTTTAAATAAATAGTCGTCAATAATTTTTATAAAACTTACTTACCATGCCGCCGGGCCCGTCATCCCTTTCCCGATGACAAAGATGAGAAAAAACATAACCATTCCTGAACACTGCAAAGAAGGACAGAAAAGTTCAGAAAAGAGTTCAGAAAACATAATTTGCAAGAATTTGACAATCAGCTGCAAGCAAGGAGACCATTTCGAAGAACTTAATGATTAGTTTTCAATCGACTGATTGAGAAAGAAGGGAAAAAGGGATCATCGGTGGGGTTCAAGAGCACAGACGCTCACAGAAAATTCCAGCATAGTGTTTATAAATTGGGGCATAGTGTTTATACCTGGAAAACGTTTTTTTTCAGGTGGCCGCATGGTAAGCACTGTGGTTAGCAAAGGTAGTTAGTGGTTGGTTTAAAAGAGCAGGAAAAACATATGTCCAGGTACTATTCTGTAGTAATCTGTACCTGGACATGATATTATGAACAGTGGTGGTTGAAGAACAGGAAAAAGATGGAGTCCAGGTTCTTTTTCCTGTTCTTAATATTATGCTATTGCTAATTTGATAATTTGCAATCCATTTTTACTTTCTAACAGGGAAATCCATAACATTGTCAGAATATTCACAGAATGTTCACAGCCCAATAGAGGTGTGAGATAAACACACACACACACACACACAGACTGATCTTGCAATCGACTCCCATGAATTCGTAACGAGTTGATTCGGTACCCTTTTTTTTTCCTTTTTTTTTTTGGCCTATGTCTTTACTATTTTGTCTTTCCCTCAGAAGTACCATTTTTCTTTTTGCCTTCCTCTCTGCCCTTCTCTCTCTCTCTCTCTCTCTCTCTCTCTCTCTCTCTCTCTCT